AAATCTAAGTATTTTGTGTGGAAAAAAATGTTTATCCCCCCCCCCTAAGACAAATTCCTAATTACGCCACTGCATAGGATATTTGATGCGACGTTGTCAAATTCACATTGTCAACATTTTGTAATTTATTATTTTCACGTATTATTAAATCAACTATTACGATATCGAATTTAAACAAGCCGTGAGCAATGATCATAGCCGAGCTCATTTTTATTGACTATGTTACTATGGTCAATAAATTAGAGATGTATATTTTTGATTATTATATTACCACTAAATATTATATAAAATATTTGCAATTGAAGGAATAAAAAAATATTTTGTTCAAATGGATGAAAACAAATATTATAATATAAAATATCTTTATATATTTAATATATTAAGATTTTAATATCTTTATTTGACATTTTTTTTTTTGACATAAACAATCTATACAGTTCTGCACAATAAGTTTATATGCTGAGAATAATTAAAAGACATGAAAGTTTTAAATTAAGCAGTCACCCATTAGTGACTCTTAGTTATTGATTAGTCAGTTTATTTTTCTTTGGCCATGAGACGTCAGACATTAAAGTTTTATAAAAGTTCWTGGCACCATTTCCTTTTTGATCTGCGATTAGGATTTCCTGGGAGAGTAAGGATGGAAAGATCTTTTATGAGAGGGTTAGATATTTGACATGATAGAAATTAATGTCCATTTACAAAAATAATACAACAATAAGTGTATTTTTAACTCTAACCATATTATAAATAACTAAAATTATTTAACCCTTAACCCATTACCATTTATTATATGCCAATACCAGATTACTTATTGCTTTATGCAAAATATTACCATTATATAGATAACAGATATTTATATGTAAACTGTAGGTAATAGATATACACTAACACACTTATATGATTCTTGATTAACTACTACAGTACTAAATGATCGTAATCGGTCACGCGAAAGGTAGACTACACAACACATGTACAGATTACAGATAGGAATTTAAAATAGCTATAGTCAGTGGCACCGAAGTCCATATTAACATCAGGCTATGGCCATAACATAAATAAACATATAACATATCGCCACATACCAACACATTTATGGTACTACTAATTTTCATTTTTATTTGAATCTAGACAACAAAATAMATTTGAATGGCTGGAATTTAGATGATGATTTTAAATATTTACCTATATTTATTTCCATAATACCATTTAATAATTAGTAATTAGTAGGTATTTACTGTTTAGCAATAATGAATGATTATCTTTTTTTTTTTTTAAATAACAGCATATATTTTGTTGAAATTGTAAGAAATTATTTAAAAATAATTATTGTTGAACTTATTAATGAATCGCCTCTTTTCAAAATAACATGAAATAGTTTTTATAAACTTAGCTAAATAAAGAAAATGTACAAAACTGGATAAAAAAATGTATTTATTTGTAAAGTTTGTGAATTTATAACTGCATCCCGTAAGATCTTTGTAAAATAAATGTTCACGAGTAAACTGAGCAGCTTTTTGAATGGTTGAATATGAAAAGTTTGCTTATAAAATAACAATATCCATAACACCGTTGTATAAATAATAKAGAATACCCTAAAGCTCTTTATTCTGAAACACCGTTAGCATTGAGTATAGATAGTATATATACTATCTATACTCAATGCCGTTAGATACAATTGGATTTAAGAAGTATATAAAACATACTACCCAACCTTCAATTATTAATAACAATTTAAAACACAATACATTTTAAGTAATTTAAGAAATGTTATAATATTTTATTCATGCAATACAATATGAATCACAATGGGCTTAAGTAATTGTTTTCTATTTTATTTTTATTTTTTTTTTTTGGTATATAGGATCATTATTATGATATCATCATGATAATATACAATTAGACAAACACTAAATGTATTCAATTATAAGTATTTGATACTAATATTACGTTTACAACCCATTGGTTTAAGCAAAACTAATTTCTAATACAGCACATAAATTAAACTCATAATTTTAACATAAAACTTAATATTATTAAAAATGAAGTTAACACAATTTGGTGTTGTTATTTATAAATCAGTTACAACATATTATTGTATAATAATAATGATA